GAAAAGCCGAGGAAAACAGAGGGAAAACAGAGGGAAAACAGAAGGAAAACCAACACGACAACAGCACGTTCCAAGTGCTCCGGGTGCCAACTAGTTTAGTGTTGAAAATTGCATGCCCATCTGGGGACTGCAGGCGCAGATCTTCAGCTTAGCCGGAATTGCAGGTGCTCCGGATCAGGTGGCCATAAGATGGCTGGAGAGTAGTTGGGAATTCCTGGCCGAAGTGGTCGTGTCCACGCTGAAATTTACATTTCCTGTGCCGCTGGACCAGACCATAAAGTAATTTGTTTAATTCCATTAGTGCGCTCGTCTACGTGCCCGGCATTAAAATACCGCACAGCGGCCAATGCCCGTGGGGTGGGGTTCTCCCTCTCAGGCGGTGGGAGACCATACACCCACCAAACACCACCCACCACCCACTGACCGTGGACAGGGAATGATCACGCAGCGGGCACGGGACTCATTGAAAATTTGCGCCAATTAGAGGCGCCTTGTTTCTGGTCTACAGGCTCCGTGGGGCGTCGTGACATCGTCGGACGACGTGGAGCTTCGAAAATCAAATGTTTTGCTTCCTCCGATACTTTTTTCCCATCAGGGTGATGCACAGTTGAAAAAAATGGATCTTATTTCACTAGCCAGGAAAAACATCATCAAGAATACGCACACTAATGGAAAAACCACCAATTGTATCTTAAACAACACACGTTTTTGAAGACAAGTATTATACATATATGCACCAAACGAATGTTAAAAATTACCAAAATAGAATGGGGAATTTTTACATTTTTATTTTCTGTGTATGTACTGGATGTTGGGACGCAACGTACGTATACATCTAATGAATTTTTAATGCACTTTCGCCTTGCACTTTCCATCGCACTGTGTTTGCTTAGTTGTCGCGTTCGATTGATGTTAGCAGAGGTGGCCGGCTTTCTGGGGTTAAGGGTGGTGGGGTTAAGCGGCGCAGGGCAGAGGGGTCGCTGTGATAGGGTTGTTGTGTAAGCCAAAGTGACACAATTGGAATGCGCGTGGACATGTCGCAGGTGCTGCTCGGATTAGCATTGAAAAATAACTCTGCTGTCAGTACGGAAAAAAGGGTAAGCTGGTTGGAATTGATTGTTTAGAAGGGATAACGAGAAGCCTGGAGAAGAATGCAAGCCAATCATTTATAATGAACGCAATTCGCAGCAGATTGGGCAATTTATGACGCGTTTTCCAGATGATGTATTCAAAGAAACACACTGAAACATCTGTGATGTCATTAGATAAAGACTCAAAACGTGTGTCCTTGGATGTTCCTAATGGTATTTTGAAAAGCTTACCTATTACACTTGTTTATTCCGAAGCTATTTACGCATTATTGTATTGAATAATGAATACTAAAGGTAAACAGATTTCTCGGTATCGTTAATTATTCCACAGTCACAGAATGTATTCAAAGGCATCAGTGTTTCACATCTATTTTTTACTCAAATATTACAATATTAACGAAAATGTTGGTAATAAAATATAATTAATGGCAGAGTTTAATAACTGGTAGCTGGCAATTTGTGGCGCTCGGAACGTGATCTATCCGAGCACTTTCATTAGCCATTCCCTGGCGACACATTAGCCGGCATTATTCATGTCCGATGACTGAGCGAAATCAACAACTCGGCCTGTATGAGTTATGGCCATGAATATATGTATCTTGTGCGCCTGCTCCACTGACCTGCCTCCCCGCTATTTCATTTGAGTCGGACTTTTTGCGTGCCAGCTAATCGCAGGAAATGGGCGGTTTGGCTGCTTTCTTTAATCCTCATGCAGTTGCTTCATGTCTTCATTTCCGCAAACGATGCGCTGGTTATATCATCCTGCTGGTTAAATATACCCGCCTAGCGCACAATAATAATACGTGCAACTGGCCATACCCCTTTTCTAAATGCGGATATACTCCTGGTATCCTCAAGGCGACTCTAAGCTGGTATGTGTGTGTTTGATAACTATAAAAATTGAATAAAACTGGGTGGAGTCCTGGCACACAAGCGCGCATATAGCTGGGCTACACATATATAGTTATATGGTTCACCTGCATTCTTTCCACTTTGCCTGTTCACTCCTTTTGCTCCTGCGAGTCGGGTATCGATTTTCCAGTTAAACCGCCGCCATTTTTAATGGCTTTCATTACTTGCGCTTGTCTTGACTTGTCCCCTGCTTTAACTCCACGCCCCCATTTCCGTTTCCGCATTCGTTATCCTCACTGTGCCTTTTGCTGCGTGAGTTGATTGAGTAAGAACGGCATCTATTTTACGCGACCTTCATTCATCACCCAATTTAATTAGGCTTCTCATAATAAAGTTAATAATCTTGTCACGTTCACATGCACCCTCTAATGGCTTTTGAAAGGAAATGGGAAATAGCCGGACAAAGGCGAGTTAATAATGCATGCTGCCCATTTGGCCGTTTGCGTCGCAGGGAAGTAAAAGTCTGACATTACGCATACGCCACATGTAACGTTAAACCGCTAACGGGCCACAAAAGACCGGTAAAACCACAGCAGCCCATTGCCCCGTTTTCCTGCTGCACTGTAAGAAAGTGCAAATATTTTGTATTATTCGTAAAATATGTAGATATATTGAAATAACGTTTGCATCGCAGTTCCATGTTGAGCAAAAGCTATGTTTGCATATGTATATCCCAGAAATTAATGCAATAAACCAACTGAAGAGTGGAGTTTTTAGACCTGAGTAGACCTGAGAATTTCTAGGTGTTCCGCTGTGTAAAACATGTCCGGATAGAACCACCAGCCTAGGGCAAAGCAATCGTGGAAAAGCGTCGCTGAAATCTGACTATGAAACAGAGGGCATTCCTCATTAAATATTTACACTTTCATAAATGTGTGAGTGCATTCAGAGGTCCTTAAATATTTTATGGCCCAAACGCAACCAGTGAAGGTGAAGGCCCCAAAACAAGAGGCACACCCTCAAATGGAAAGGAAAAGCGGGCGCCTGAAAAAGGAAAACCATACAAGCGTGAAAATCGCAGCACCAACAACCAATGCAATGTTTGTCCACGGCAACGTAAGGCTTTTGCCCATCATCTTCATGTTTCTTTTCATATTTTTGGCTCATTAAGAGTCCGACCGAAAAAAGGTACAGGTCACAAGAAGTTCAGACTCGTAATTGTTGCGAAGTGACAGTTTGTCACAAAGCCAAAAGACAGAAAGCTCTCAAAATGAGTTGGGGTTGCGGATTTGGGTATCCAGTAGATCTGAGTTATTATTCAGAAGCTCATCTGGCTCGCTCGTCCTTTTCTTTGTCTCTGTCCCTTGGACTTTCAAATTATTTCAGGCAGAAGAATGTTTCAATGTAATTATGTGGGAAACACAGTTTGCCTTAGGAAATATGTGCCATACTCAGATTTTAAGCCAAGCAGGCCCATTGACTTAATTGATGAATGCCCTTTTACCCACTCTGTAGATAATCTCATTTCCAGATAAATCATTTAATTGCAATATTCCGACTTTGGCATTGTGTTTGCGGCTAATGTAATGGATAAATTTGCATATCCCGCTGGAAGCAAAAGCGCAACATTTAGGGCCATTAAATGCAGTTTTAATTATTATTATTTCACCCGATGCAAGCTTATCACCTTCTCGCTTGGATAGTTTCGCGTTTATAATGTGTTCACTTTCAGCCATTAAACGGAACGAGTAATAGGCCAATAAAAATGCAGGCGACAATTTTCGACTAATGTAAACCATAAAAACGTAACGGACGAAAGCAAACAGAAGCCAAGAAGCAAACAGATGGGTGTATTTTCTCAGGCGCTAATTAAAATATACAAGCCACAGTACAGTAGCCACAATGCGTCAAATGTGGCGTATACGTAATGTGTAATTAAACACACGCACACAAACGTACAGTGGCGGAGGGAAAGGACTATCCAGGGGGTTTTCCTCGTTTTCGCGATTCGTGCGAACGCCTAATTGAATGTCAGCAACAAGGAGGACTGTATAAAAATGTGTCTGGCTTTGCTGATCCTGCTAAATCAGTTGAATTACCCACAATGGCGCTATAAAATTGCACTGTGCTCATGTTTAGTTTGATGCCACAGCACGTAGCGTTGATGTTTCTAAAGCATAAAGGCCAGCAAAAAGAGGCAGCTTCAATGCTCAGGAATGCGTGGATGGCAGTAAGTTAAATTAAAATTTCATGGCTTCCCGTGCGGGTGGAGTCGCTTTCATCTCATTGCCTCCTTCTGCTCTTTGGTAATCAAATCAGCGACAGTTTCGTGTGTAAAGGAAGTGCCACGGAATCCGGGGGAATAAATCTGCTTCAGCAGATTGTCTGCTTTTCCAGGCGGCTTAATGCAGGTAGATATCGGATTATCAAGTATACGAATTTCGAGGTAATTGAAGCCATTTAAATTGTATTGCCAGCATTTCATTGGCGTTAAATAATTACTATCACGAGAAGCGCTTTTGCTAAGCCAAACAAATACGATAGTTCTTTAAATATTAATGAGCGACAAGCTCCAAGTTCTCACACCCTAAGCTAAAGTTTATTTTTTGCCATTAAAAGCAAGCCTATTTTGCATCATTAAATTTTAACTATCCTTCTGGCACCGCTTATTAATTTTTTACCACTTGATTGCTGTTGACATCTTTCTTCATAAAAAAATTATTATTTAATAATCGTTTTAGCTACAAGCATTATTGCGCCATCGATCGCGTGACATTAAAATGCAACACAAGGCGTGAGTTGAGTTTAGTTAAAAACTCGCAGTGAAACAGAATTTATTATTGAGCACCCACACATCCCTGCCGCGTTGTTAACTTTTTAGAAATTAAACTTGACACAAAAATACATTTTTGGCGAATTCCACAGGCGACCAGGTGGAATAGTTTTTAGAGTAATTTAAATTTCCTGCGGCGCCAAACTTTCGACAGCCGGGAAAATAAGTCCGCAAAAGTTTCGACGCCGACAGGTGAAATGGTAGTAGAAAGCGAAACTACTCACTCAGATAATGAATTATTTATTTCGGCTGTATCGCGACACTTTCTTATCCAGTTCTACTAATTGATCGTTAGTTAATTGAAATGTTTTGCCCTCGTTCCGATGGGCCGGGCCGATACTGGCGCACTGATCGATTTATATGCAAATGACCCAACAAGTCGGCGGCAACTGATTCGAAACTCGGCCAGCGGGAACTTCAAAACTCTGGTCGCAGCGAGTGCAGTGCGTCGAAAGCCGAAACCGAACCGAAAGCGCATCCGAGTCGCATCGGATCGAGCCGAAGTCGAAGTCCTGGAACGAGGACACGTCTGCTTTCCCTTTTGGCCAGCCCCTCCCGTTCTGTTGGCCTGGTTGCCATATCGACTGCTTGCCTCGGGACTCAAGACTCGAGAATCTAGAATCGAGAATCGAGAATCGGGACGGGACTCGGTCCCCCAGTTTCAGACTCGGCACTTTTTGGCACTCGGCTCGACTGCTGCGTTCAGAGTTCGTTGCGAAACTGTCTGGCTTGGGCCACTTTTTTCGCCTCTTGGCCAGGCCAACTTCCTGCACACAAGTTCGAGTTGGATGCTCCTTCCGCTGGCCCGAAAGTTGGGTGGTAAACACAACATAAATGTCTTGCTTTTTGGCAGTTTCCGCTTCGGTGATGTAAGTTCTCGACACTTGTTGTTGGTATCTCTGGTGCAAAGTTTTTCCAGCCGGGACATGCTAATGAAAGTGGAAACTTGGAGCCATCTTCAAGGACTTTTGGTAAGGAAAACTTTTAAAACTTCGTTCAAAACGCATTGATGGCACATTGATTTCCATGCTGACGTTGATTTCCTGGAACAGACAAAGGAGAACTCAACGAGTTCTCGAAGCCTCGATGTCATCCAATGCGGATAGGTACTTCGACTCACTCTCATATTTCATTTACACGTGGCGTGCGGAAGACTACCGCAACAATAAAGCTAAACACAACCCCCAGAAATCAACACCCAAGCCCCAAAGCATCCCTTTGCAACATGTTCGACTTGACTTGCAACTGGCTCGATGTGTCCGCTACATGTTTCAATTGCGGCAACGGAAACTTTCGCCGGTTGCGAGTATTTGGATAGAAAAGTGGGAGTCGGCGGGGGCTTGTGGGTTAGGTAACGCGGGTCCTAATTGGGTTTGCGGGGCTCTGGAAGTGCAACTTGGTTTGTGGCACAATCGGTCGCTATCGCATGTCAGAGTTCATGGCGGTCATTAGCTTTGGGGTTTTAGAGACCCTAAAACGAGGGTGCCCCTAAAAGGTCAGTTGGTCACATTCGCAACGGTATCGGGATCTCATAAAAGTGTCGATTTCATAAAAGCTCTTTTTATCTTAACGAAGCTGGGTCAAGCACCTCCTTTCCAGCGACGAAAGTATCGAGTTACCCAGCAGCCAGCGCAGTTAAGTTATTAACCCGCGCATCGGGCACAGAATTCTGCCATCAGCAACAGGAAACTGATTAGTTTTGGTAGCTGAACTTTAGCAGGAAAATTGGCAGTTTAAGGGTGAGGGAAACAAACCTCCCAGCAAGTAGCGCAGAGGATGAATTAATTGGGAACGGAAGAAAACATCTCGAAGGGGAGCGGCCCTACACTGAAACTCAAGATGGTAGGAAGATCATTACACTGATCAATGAACCCAGAGATCCGGATCCAGACATCAACGTCATCTCTGCTTCCGATCTGTCTGCCCTGGGATCACTGGATGACAGGTTTTTTTGGCTTCCTGAGGCGTCAATTACACATCGTACAAGCTGTATCTCCTGAGAGCAACAGATGTCCCCCCAAAGATCACTAACCATCTCAGGTTTCGCCAGACAGGGGTTCCTCTACTTTTTCATCTTCTCCTTCTCAGTTTTTTTTGTGGATGCAACATTTTGTGAAACAAATTGCAGAGCAATGGTAAAGCCATCCGCAAGGATATCAGACGGCAACACGTCCTGCGCACCCAACTCCCCCCAGATAAGTAAGAATTATTGCTTACTATGCTGGCAGCATGGGACGCTCTTATTGTTGTTAATGCCAGCCGCAAAATGTAAACTCTATTTCTATGGAAATCATTTAAAATGCGTTTGTTTTCGGCTTCAATGGCAGTGAAAAGAAAATCCCACTTTAAGAAGGAAGTTGTTGCCAATTGGCATCGAATCGAATAGTACGAGCTAATACTTTGAATACATGCGCAGGTGTTTTGTATGCAGATGGCACAGCCATTTGGGACAAGACTTTAACACTACAAGAACTCATCTTCGTAGAACATAGAATATCAAGGTAGGTTAATAATAACAAACAGGTGAACTAACAAATTTCCCACCGAAATATAAATATTTTTTGCTGAAATGCTGCGAAGAGTTTGAAATACGAATCAAACTCACCTGTGGCTTTCGAGGGTTAAACGTCTTGACTTGGCCAAATGGGCAAGTGGTAACGTCAGAAGCGGGCCGCGCACGCGCTTTAGCCTCATTTGGCATGCGGACCAGATACCGTGCAAAACACATTATGTTTATGAGGCTACCAGGCGACTATGTGACTAAGTCGCTGGATCTGGGCGTGCGAACCTCTCCGCCTTATGATGGGCATTACAATCGCTCCAGTGGGTGCGCACTTTCGGCGGCTACTTCGTGGCCAGATTGCCAATCAGAGTCGGACCATCCCGGGGGAGACCATTGTCCAGGGCCTACGTGATCCACTGGCCATATGCCATTAGCCGGAAGAGGAAGAACCGAGTGGCCAGGGCCAGTAGGGCGAGCCCTACGATCAGGAAGTCAAGTCCCTTGATCGACGTCGTCGACCGGGTTCAGTGTCCGGTTTTTGTACTTGAAACCCAAATTACGCAGTTCCCGAAATAATAACACCGCCCAGCCTCCCCCAGTGCGTTGATATTTTTGGCTCGGAGCGAAAGTACCGCTAGGCGGTCTTGCTGCAACTGCGCAAGTGGGCCGAAAATCCCGAGAACCCGCACGTGACGTCACTGCCCGTTTAGCTGGTTTTCGGTTGCACACAAAAAAATAACGTACAAGGTCCGCAGTTGTCAAGCGGATTAGTAGTGAGAATCGTTACTTAAGGAGAGATGTAAATTACTTCGCATTCAATTAAAGCATACATTTATTTTGCAGCTTTCATTGGGAATGCGAATTCAGTTCCCTCAGTGTACTTTACAATCATTTCTGGGTAGCCCCTCGACTTCTGCTGATTAACGCTGAAAGTTCGGAGTGATTATACAGGTGTTGCATAACACCAGTACTTCATCGATTGACGCCTCTTTGACTGATTGCCTCATTTTTGTTTTGGTCTGAAACCAAGCAGATCTTGTAAACAATTTTTGACATCTGCCATTTCGGTTTTGCCCAGTTTTATGGTGATTTGTTAGTGCTTTAGAAATATGAAATATATTTAACCAAAGGTTACTGCTTCATACTTAAATATAATATAGGCACACCACACCAACTCGATTTAATGAATTTCAAGAATGAATTTTAATGAATGATTCCAAATAAGGGTAGCGGAAAGTTCCCATCGCAGAATGATTTGAATCGAACCAGTTTCATTTAAATTATGCTCGTTATTCATCTTCGATCGGCATTTAAAAATCAATAAAGCTTGCAATTTATTGTGCGAAAACACGATTCAGAAGGAGACAATGACTGCCCCTTCGAATGACATCACACCGCATCTCTGACTTACTTTGAGCACTTCGAGTGCGTAAGTCTGGGGAGTTTAAGTCTAAAAATAATACGAATAATACGAGTATTACAGTTTTGGGATGATCCGGTTTTCATGTGTTTTCTTAAAATATCAAATCGATCAATTGTACGGGACTTCATGAATGTCAAATCAAATTGGTGTGCGCCTTTAATTGTGTTAAGTTCAATCTCATGATGATGATGACTTCTTAAAATAATGTCCAAAAGATACAAGCCTAATTCGACCTTTGACCTTTATCACATTTTTATTTCGAACTACAAGCCTTATTGATTCCATACCCATATTCCAAAGCGAGGATAATGCCCCTGACCATTTCATTTAGCCAGGCACAAATCTTTGGAAAGCATATAATTTATATTGTGCAGGTATATACAGCACACACTAGAAAAGTATATATAAAGTGTTATAAAAGATCACATCTTTATTTAGAAAATGTAAGTAACAACTGCAAAATTCTTTTATATCACAATTTTTGGTATCTTTGGTTTCTTGTAGGTGAGTGGAGCACCTCCATCATAGCGACACTTTCTGGGATCCGTTGGATGCGTCACACAGAAGGAAGTGCTCGATAGCTTGACATCAGTGCCTGCGATTTTTTTGCGGCAAGTTTTGAAGTCCTCGACGGGCACGATTGCAGTCTTCGTGTCCGAGTTTTTAAAAGATTTCCCGAAAATATTTCATAACGTAAAGTAGTTAAGTCGGAGCTATACAAAATCGAAATACCTGAAATACCAAGAACATCCAGAAGTAGCACGATTATTTTCACGCTCATTTGATGAGGTAATTAGTAATGGGGGGGCTTTAGAAGAATATATTCAAGCATCTCCTTAACGCATTTCAAAACTGGCTAATGCGGAGTATATTTTTCTTTCCGAAAGAAGTAATTTGCAGGCATCTATAAAAATTAAACTCAGAAGGAAAATCTGATATGACCACACAAGAAAGCATAACAAGTTTCTATTCACCGAAATGAATAAGCTAACTATTCAATTTTTGTGAAATTAGCTTGTATTTTATTCAACATTCCATGGGGTCAACCATAACACTTCTATAAAGGGGTTTTTTCATGCTTTTCATTGTTGCATTGGATTTTGTCTTCGTCTTTTTAGTGACTTTTGTCGCTAATGTAGTTGAGCTATTTATATCCTGGCCATTAATGGATTTTTCTGCATCAGTGATGAATTTACGCACTCTTCTGATATTGGTGTACATGCCGGGTATGGAAGTGTCTCCGCAATACGATCCGAAGGACACGACGCCGCAGAGCTGCTTTTTGTAAATCAAGGGGCTTCCACCGTCGTAGAGGCACTGTCTAGGATTCTTGGGCTGACTGGCACAGATCGATGTGCTCGATAGCCTTAAGCCACTTTTGAATGTGCGTTTGCACTCCTTAGCGGATATAATGGTCACTGTAGCATTGCGGGGATCCGATGAGGGCATATGCATCTCCATATTGTCGAAACCCCATCCGAAGACCACCATCTGCATTTTGGGCTGCACTTTGACGGTGCAAAGCCGGATGAACTCAGTGAGTCGGCCCTTTACGGGCTCCCTTAGACGCACTACTGCCACGTCCATGTACAGTTTCTGGTAGATGAACTTCGCGGGAAACTTAACGGTCTCGATATCAGCAACGTTCTCCCTATCGCATTCGGAGAACGCGCTGCCCTCCACCGTAACACCCTCGAGGCTTTGCGAATAGGGATAGATGCAGTTGGCCGAGGTGATCACGATTACAGGAGCATAGTAGGCTGCTCCGCAGATAAAGTTACCATCAGCGTTTAGGATCCGCAGCAGCCAGCCTCCGAAATTGGGGCCAGTGTTGGATTCCACCCCGCCCCAGATGCGTCGAAACTTGGGAGTGTTTGGGTGAATGTCCCTCGGATAGACCTTTCCCTGGCTCTGGGGCAGGCAGGTCATTAGCAGACAACTTACCAGAAGCCAGCTCTTCGAGAGATCCATTTAGTTGCAGTGGCTGACTGAAGAGTAAATAAGTTTTCGTATGAAGTATGCGTAGTAAATTTTTAACAAATAAGTGTGGAAAATATTCTTCCTTCTTTCATTCCTCAAGTCGCCGTAAGTATACACTTTCAAGGCATTGATATCTTTTCAAAAATGCTTAATATACGAAATGAAATCAATAGATGATAGCACTAAAGGAATGTTAATTTGCAGAAATTATTCCGCTCTTGTTAAACATAATAATTATAGCCTCGCCAGTGCGTTTGATACTCTTTCCGTCAGAACAGGCGATAACTTCTTTAATAGTATTATCTGCCAAATGAGGCGTACAAAATAAGGTTAAGTCTGGAATTAGTCCATGGAGTCAAAGCCCCCAGCGTAGGCTGTCATTTCCATGCCGACTTTAATAGGGGTGCTACACAGCTTAATGAAAGAAGGAAGGAAATTTTCCACACTTTTTTGTTAAAAATTTACTACGGAAACCTAATTACTTATTTACTCTTCAGTACTCTTCAGTCCACTGCAACTAAATGGAACTCTCGAAGAGCTGGTTTCTGGTAACTTGTCTGCTAGGGACCTGCCTGCCCCAGAGCCAGGGAAAGGTCTATCCGAGGGACATTCACCCAAACACTCCCAAGTTTCGACGCATCTGGGGCGGGGTGGAATCCAACACAGGCCCCAATTTCGGAGGCTGGCTGCTGCGGATCCTGAACGCTGATGGTAACTTTATCTGCGGAGCAGCCTACTATGCTCCTGTAATCGTGATCACCTCGGCCAACTGCATCTATCCCTATTCGCAAAGCCTCGAGGGTGTTACGGTGGAGGGCAGCGCGTTCTCCGAATGCGATAGGGAGAACGTTGCTGATATCGAGACCGTTAAGTTTCCCGCGAAGTTCATCTACCAGAAACTGTACATGGACGTGGCAGTAGTGCGTCTAAGGGAGCCCGTAATGGGCCGACTCACTGAGTTCATCCGGCTTTGCACCGTCAAAGTGCAGCCTAAAATGCAATTGGTGGTCTTCGGATGGGGTTTCGACAGTATTGAGATGTATATGCCCTCACCGGATCCCCGCAATGCTACAGTGACCATTATATCCGATAAGGAGTGCAAACGCACATTCAAAAGTGACATAGAGCTATCGAGCACATCGATCTGTGCCAGTCAGCCCAAGAATTCTAGACAGTGCCTTTACGACGGTGGAAGCCCCTTGATTTACGGAAAAGAGCTCTGCGGCGTCGTGTCCTTCGGATCGTATTGCGGAGACACTTCCATACCCGGCATGTACACCAATATCAGAAGAGTGCGTAAGTTCATCACTGATGCAGAAAAATCCATTAATGGCGAGGATATAAATAGCTCAACTACACTAGCGACAAAAGTCACTAAAAAGACGAAGACAAAATCCAATGCAACAATGAAAAGCATGAAAAAACCGCTTTATAGAAGTGTTATGGTTGACCCCATGGAATGTTGAATAAAATACAAGCTAATATCACAAAATAGTTAGCTTATTAATTTCGGTGAATAGAAATTTGTTATGCTTTCTTGTGTGGTCATATCAGATTTTCCGTCTGAGTTCAATTTTTATAGATGCCTGGAAATTACTTCTTTCGGAAAGAAAAACGAAGATGCTTGAATGCTTGATGCTTGAATTCGGCTAAAGCCCCCATTACTAATTACCTCATCAAATGAGCGTGCAAATAATCGTTCTACTTCTGGATGTTTTTGTCCGACTCTGTCAGGTATTCCGATTTTGTATAGCTCCGACTTAACTACTTTATGTTATGAAATATTTTCGGGAAATCTTTTCAATCGCTCTGCTCCTGTCGGATGTCGCAATTGCAAGCGCTAATTGGTGGAATTCTTCAGCCTCGTACTTGCATGGCAGGCCACAGGTGAAAACAGTGAACAAGAATGGCATTCGGATGACCGAGGGTGGTCATGCGGTCCCTTGGCTGCTAAGGATAATTGATGGTCGAGACTTCGTCTGCGGAGCCTCACACTTAAGTGCCCTTTATGCCCTCACCTCAGCAAACTGCATGCATTTTCATAGGTCACAGTTGAAGTCGCTGAGTGTAGAGTTGGTAACGGAGAGCTGGCAGGATAGCCAGGATAATTTGAATGATCCTCCAAACGCCAAAATCCGCAGCATTATAGTATCGAAGGATTGGCGCTGGCCAGGAACATTTATGGATGTAGCCGTCATACAACTCACCAACCGCCTGCGTGGCAGTCGGAATGATTTCGTGAAGCTCTGTACCCATCCGCTGAGCACCTACAAAAGCCTTTCAGTTGTGTCCTACGGAGCACGACCCACGGCAAACGTACGAACGGAGGAGATCGAGGTGCTCAACCGAATGATCTGCGATTCGGCGTACGGCAATTTTCTCCTGCGCGAAACTGTCGCGTGTGCCAAGGAATTTAAGAGGAGCACGGACTGCATGTTTAACGCCGGATGCCCGGTGACTTCTGGCGATCAACTTTGTGGTATCGTGGCCTGGGGTCCTGCCTGCAAGAGACCCGGTTTGCCCGGAATCTTTACCGATATCCACCAGGTCAGACGGTTCATTCTGAAGGTGATCAGTGAAAAGCACAAGGGCAGCCGCCACCCAAGAACGAAATGGGCATCAAAAAAAGTACCCGAGTGGCACTCGGGCCTCTGGCTGAGTCGATAATTATTCATATAAAAATTATACAATAAATGAATTTAAATTCAGTTTTGTTTAATTGCCTGTTCAGTTAAAATTAACCAAATGCATACTATTTCATTTCCTCCATTTCTCCCCACCACTATTTCCTTTCAATCCTCCAAAATGATTTATTTAAATTTTGTTTGTTGGGTAACAATCATACAGCACACAGCTTTTGATAGTTAGCAGGACAGTCGTGGTTTGAGTACTAATAAGCGAATACACGCTCCTTTGATAGCGAATACACGCATCTCTGCTTGTGCGAGCACTGCTTGTTTCGATTATTAGTAATCGATTGTTACGGTACCAGAAAGGGTAAATTATAAACTGGGAGCCGGTCACACTGGTTAACCGAAACCAAAACACAGAAGTGAACTACAAATAATCGCGGAAAATATAACTAAAATGGAGACTGTGAGGGAACTGGTTCAATTCATGCAACCGAATCAACGACTGGACTTAAAGGCAGTAGCCTTAACCCATGTTCTAGGTGTGTTTCAAGGAAAATGAGTTTGCACGGCGGCACGTGGATTTGTTGTGGGCAACTGTGACGTCACCGGTGGCACATTGTATTTATATACATTAAATTTGTGTGTTTTCAGGATTAACTGGCAGCTCGGAGGGCAAATCGGCAATACTTTCGCTGGATGAAATGCTAATGGCCATTTTCGGACTGACATTCGATGAAAATCAAACAGTGGCCAAGGATGCGGTTTTAAGCTTAATAAATTTAACGGCCGAAGAGGAGGCAGCAATCAAAGTTTTCCAACTGGCGAAACAATTGCAACCGGTAAGTGTTTTCATATAATATTATCAACATATATTCATGTATTTCTTCCAGGCATTTGCCATCGTGGAAGTGGCTGCCAAGGAAATAACCAACGAGCAATCCGATCTGGCGGATCCCTGGAGCATGGTCTTGAGCAACCTAACGCGGGTGGAATCTCTGGTCCACGAGATCCTGGACACGCTGGAGAAAGATGATCAGACGCTGCCCCGCTTGGCAAAAGCCTTCGCACAACTGGACTACAACAAAAAGAAGGCCAAGCTGCATTACCTGGCGCCCATCTTCTGCAATCTGACCCAGGTGCCTCGGGGCAGGGAACTGTGCTGCCATCGGAAGTACCAATTGCTGGAGAAGCTACTGCCCTTTGCCTCATTTGAGGGAAGTGTGGTGCGGCGAGGCGGCACCATTGGCATCCTGAAGAACGTTTGCTTCGACACGGTCTACCACGATGTGATCCTAAACGAGCAGAGCAGTATTCTGGTGGCCATCCTGCAGCCGCTGTGCGGTCCAGAAGAGTTCAGCGACGAGGACAACGAACTGCTGCCCATCGAACTGCAAGTGAGATGAGAACCATACTTACAAAATAGCCAACCATCTTTACCAACCTTGCTTTTCCAGTACCTGCCTGAAAGTAAAACGCGCGAGGAGGATCCTGATTTGCGGAAAATGCTGCTGGAGTGTCTGCTGCAACTGTGCTCCACACGCCGCAGCCGGGAGGTTCTGCGCTCCAGAGGCGTCTATGAGATCCTGCGGGAGTACCACAAGTGGGAGGCCAAGGTGGCCAAAGACAGTGACTGTCTGCTGGCCTGCGAGAACGTGGTGGACATTCTGATCAAGAAAGAGGAGGAGATTGGCCTGGACAACTATAAAACCGAAGTTGAAGTGCCTGCTGAGCAGTCAGAGAAATTCGTCCAGGAAGACGCCGCCTATGTGAAGAGTTTGCTTGATTGAATCAACGCACCTGGGACGCTTGTAAATATGTGTAGTGTTAGTAAAAGTCATAGACGATATTGAACTTTCAATATATGTATGCAGTTTTTTATTCAGAAATGCTGATAGTTTAGTTCGTAATGCTTCAGTTGCCCAAAAATGTTGCTCTAGAAAAAGTTGTACGCACGCATTCAATTGCAGGGGAAACAGTTTCAATTTAGATTTTCAATTCAATTTGATTAGTTCAAGTAGCGTCGTTATCTAGTTTATCTAATTATCGTTAATCCTCGCTCTGCCGCCTCAATTGTATATGTATAAAGTTCTCCTTAAGTGCTAGATACATTTGCATTCAAAAATGTTTGGCATTGCCTTGCCATGAAACGTTTAATGTACTCTTGTGTTATTTTTACAAACTTTGCTTGGTCGTTCATTGTGTGTTAGAGAGTTGAAGAATTCAATGGCCCTTAGCCGAGAAGCCTTTATAGCCAATAAGGTGCGTATTGTGTTTGCTTTCGATTAGTTTGCGTTTAGTTGCGCGGCAAGCAAGCGATTTCAGCAGAGAGAAAATGCGAATTGCCTGAATTTGATGTCTTGCCTGTCTGCCATCGATCAAAAACCGTTGCGTTCTATCAAAACTTCTCCACTTATTTTTACATAGTTGATTTTTATTTGCGGAAACCATTGCAAGCTCGCTTAGTCCGAAAAATGAAGTACCAACATGCGAAATATTAACAATTTAAACTAGAAATCGATGCATATCAAATGCCATTGCCGTGGACTCCCACCCTTGCATATAGTATTCGTTTTATTTAGTTTGGTCCTATTGGTTCTCCGTATCCATATGAAAATTTAGCTCGACTTTCCAATCAAGTATTTGGGCTACGCGTAATTTAAAGAGTTTTCAACTTAGTTGTTTATAAGTGGGCTTCACTTTGGTTATATTTTGTTTTGTTAACTTATAACTTTTTCCTGCATAAAGGGGGAATGTACGAAAACTGCGAGACCAAATCAAATCTCTAGCCCAATCCCAAATCGTTTTAGTGAATACTGCCATGTCACGTATTTCTCAAGCTCTCAACCCTATCATCTTTAGTTATATTTGTAATTAAACTTTGCGATAAGTATATTTTATGATCACCTAACGGAGATTACAACACACGAGGGTCTACAAAAGTGTGAAATTTATTTGTGATTAACAGGCAATAACTGAAAATAGAGCGCCTATCTCGCCTCAATGCGACGGGACAGAACCTCGTAGGCGAAGATCTTCACCTCCTCGGAACCGTAGGGAATGTACAGGCAGCCGTGGGACGGATGCACCTTGCCCACGGTCAAGCTGCCGGCATGATAGCCCCTTCCGGCGTACAAGGTCTCTCCGTCGACATTCTGGCCCACCTTGACGGCGCCGGGAGGAACCTCTCCGTTCTCGGCCGGCAGCCAGATATAGTTTAGCCCGCTCAAGACCTCGTAGTTCTCCAGCTCCACCTCCTGGTTGGCATAGGCCACATAGGCCTTGCCCTTGTTGGGAATAATCTTGGCCGGCAGCATGTCATTGCAGTAGAAGGCGCGGCCAATGAAGATGGTGTCGCCATCGGAATCGTGACCAGCAACCACGGCTTCCTGGGGGATTGCGCCGTGGCTGAAGTGAAGCCAAGTGTTACCTGCAATCAGCGAAGTTATCCCGCTTAATTGGAGGGTCCAACCGGAAAAGGGGAATGCGCCAGTGCTTACCGTCCATTTCGATTGAGCTGCTTGAATGTACTAAGCAATTCTAATCGTTATTTCTTGGCGGGCTGCTAGGCAACACCTGGAAAACCGATACCTTATCAGGTTATCCGGACATGATACCCAATCAGCCGGTGAATCAACCGCCACAGACTGGAGGTAAATGAGTCTAGATTCAGAAGTCTATATAGCAACGTATTGTATCATTTATGACCGGAGTTTATGACTTGATTTAGGACTTGTGAAAATAGTTCACCCAGTTACGAGTAAAGCGACTTATCTAGTTGCGGTCTGCGCAAGTTTAAATAAAGATGAGGCTATACAGAGGAAACAGTAGGATATCCTCAAAAATAAGAAGAAATAAGATACTTCTCCTCTCACTTGTATCTCGCAGTTTTCGTTGCTAATTTTACTCACTAATCCATGTACACAACTATTTATAATCTGCCCAAAATTCAGCATTCGTTTAACAAATAGATAAATTGTTTTTGTATATGTACAATAGTCATCTAGAGAGGTGAAAAATGCTTACTTATGCCAAGGTAAAACACATCGTATATAAATCGTAAACCATTCCTGCCTTTCACTAAGCGACAGCGTTTAAAGTCTAGATTCCTTCTTAGGAGCTAAAAATAATTGCAATTAGAATTTGAATTTGGTTTGCAGTGTCGCTTTGATTTTGCCACTCGAATGCTTAGCATCTAAATAGTTTCCGTACGCGTTCATCAATTATTGTTTGATAGTTGTTAAGTATTCGCTTAAAAATCACATAATTGCTTGATGAATTCCATAATGTTATTGTGTGTAAGAGAGAGTGTGTTTTCGAGCGTGTCCTTGCTGCAGCTGCTCGAGTGCGTTTACATTTGGGTGCGATTGCGATCCTAGACACAGAGAGATTCGAAGGAAAAGAAAACGATTTCCACGCGCATCCAAGACGACTTAAATGCCTTCCCGGCTGCCTCACTTCGCTTGCAGCCAAATTTCCGCCTGCCTCTCCTGCGCCGGATACTTGACTTACAGATGCCCACTGTGCTACCTGCTGGCGGCCAGTAGGAACACCACCAGGCTGAGCAGGTGCCTCATCAGCGACTCCAGGTCTGCGGGACTCGCACTCTGCCTCCTGGCCGAGTTGCAGGCATCTGCGTCACTGCAGCTCTGCAGGCACCCGTGCACGTACCTGGGGAGCCATCAGAGGAGGAGGCATTTAATAAGGTTTTCACAACAACTGTTCAGTCCTTACTTGTCATCGTAGTAGAACTTTCCGCAGTGCGACATTCTTATAATCTCTGTGTCGGTGGTCAGGGTGCCGCTGTCCAGGGCGCAACCCCTCACCGTTATCGTCTCGCCAGTTCCATCTTGAAATGGGCAGTAAGAGATACAGTGGGTCATCGTTTGGATCACCTATGCCCAGCGGCGGCATTCACTTACCGTAGTAGCCGGCGATCTTGATGCAGGCGGTGGCCGGAAATAGGCCGTCACGCCCCTTCCGGCCGCCCATGCAGGGCGACTCCAAGATGGCCGTTGAGTAGTTGTTGTGAAAGGGATCGTCGCAGGCCTTATTAGCTCCGTTGTAGGACACGCATTTGAAGCAGTCTATGCAGTAGCCTGTAAGGGCATTTTAAAGGTCTTACAGTCTTCAAATTGAAATTGGTTTTGATGCCATGGCTTAATCCGGAGGGTGAATTACTTGTAATGAATTCCCTCGAAAATCACTTACCACTTCGAATGAAAAGGCCAAGCAGCAGGGCCAAAATAGCGGCGGTCTCCATAATTGAACTGCTCACCGCCATCCTCTGGGCACTCAGAGCACTCACACGGGATTCGCAGGACTCACAGGTTGACCAGTTGCGGACATTCCATGGAATTCATTTCACTTCGCCATCTGCAAACGTGGAGACACATCCAAAGGGATTAAAATTAACAAGCGAATTGAAGGCTCTTAAAAACTTTTTCGATTTTCCACTGAAATCTCTGGCTGAGCGCTCGAGAACTCATAAAAAGTTGAAACGAAACGCAGAGCATAAACGAAGGCAATGGTCATAAAAATGATTATCCACAATCCGCAGAAATGCAATTTCTTTTGAGAGAACGACTGGCGGGCAAGAAAAATTAAAGGTAATAAATTGCAGAGCGCATTTTTGACACAATACCGCCACCGCCCCCACCCCTGTTTCCTGTCTGTTTCCTTTTTTGTTTTCTGCTCCATATTTTTATTGCCGAAGTGTAAATAATTGCTTCTCAGTCGATTTTCGTGTCGAGTGCTGGCCATGTGGTCCCCGAATGTTGTTTTTGACTCCCCCACATTTTGTTGCCTGTTTGTCGTTGCCGATTTTAATGGCCCCACTTCGATGGGCCAAGGTGTTGTTGGGTCAACTTTCGGGCAGTGTTTTTCTTGGGTTTTTGTTTTATTTCTGGTCCCAACGTTGGGGTCCCTCGAATTATGACAAATGATCCTGACTTACGGACTGAAAGTGTAGCTAAGCTCGAGAAACACAATTTATGGCGGGCCAAATGCCAAAAGCGTGTGGCTTAAAGCGATTTTGGGCGTGACCCATTGAGGCTTTAAAGTATACAAAGTGGACAATCCAGATATATACAGGGGTATATTTCTGACAGCTCTAGCCAACCCATATACTCGGTATTTCTATATTGCGCTCTTTCAGTGGCTGGCAATCAATTTAAGCGAATCTGTCATCGTGACAGATAAATATTATCATTGCATGGCTCGTTGCTGTTGGCCAAGCCAAACAGATATAGCCATCTATCCACTGGCGTTTTGGAAGCAGAGGTCATGTCTGTGGATCAATATTTATTTGCAAATTATGGCTCAACCACACACTTTCCCTGTGGCCCACGGGGCGTATGTGCAACATTTCGAGCAGCCGCAAGTGCTGTGCATTAATTATCCGATTTTGAGTGTTCCCGTGTGTGTGTGGCAGTCGGTATAGGTTGGTATTTGATTTGCGATCCAACCGAACTTGCGTCGAACTCTAGGCGCTCAAATGTGTTCGGCTAATGTAATTAAGTTGCCTCAAGTTGCGTGCCCAGAAAAGCACAATAAGGTAAGTGAGAAACAGCGCTAATAAACTCTGACTAAACGTGGATGGAGGTGTAGAAATTTATAATGAAATCCCAAGGGTTCCAATCGACATCGAACGCTAGTCTACTGCCAAAGCTATAATTGTGTGGCGCATTTTCATCTATTTGCAAATTAGCCACTAAGCAGTCGAACGAGCTGCCAAACACATTTTCCCATCCACCATCCAATTTTCCTCTGGCTGAAAGCCAAGTTGGCCGGAAAAGGCATTGTGTGCCAGTGTTGACGGAAACGGATGCTGCTCCCCCGCCTCTACCCCTCCACCTTTTTCCCGCCACTCCTTGTCTTGGCCAAATGAAGTTTACCTTTTGTTCATTGTGTTGCCAGCTTTCAATATGCATCACTATCCTACCGGTCGGGGTCCCACAACTACTACATGCTACACAGCCAGAAATTGGCTCGAAAGTCGCGCATGTCAATTATTTTAGAAAAAAAACAGTCTTAAAGCACAATGAATTGACAAAACATATTATTTGTCATGGTGTTAAGTAATATTAACGAGTTCAATCATAGTAAATAGAATCTGTAGTGTGGTGGAGAAAGGGCATTGTCTCTCACTGCCAGTCACGAGTCGAAGTGGCCATTGTGCCCGTTTAACGACCATCGGAGGTGGAAAAAGTGGCAGGAGAAGAAGGGGTGGAGCAGGAGCAGGAGCTGAAGAAGGAGGAGGAGCAGAAGCGGCCTTTGTGGCCTCTGCAACTTGGCCGTACTTACTTAATTTTGTCGCTTCGACTGGGCCACAATCGAATCAGCCACGAAGGCAGCCAAGCGGACAGCCCGTCAACTTCCGCTGCCAGCTGCTGCCACAAAACTTTTATGACACTGCCAAAGGCAGCCAATGAAGAGCTATGCCCGAGCAATTAAAAGCCTTCAACGTAGCCATTTCTCCTTGGCAGGACATTAAATTAGTCCGCCCTGCGAAATTGAATGCTACCCAACGCGGATTGTCGGAATTTTTTAATAAAGTTTGTGCAAGCTAATCGCGTATTCATGGACCCAGCTTGGCCCCTGGCGCACATTAAAAATGAAAAATGAAGGCGAAGTTATCCCCGAATCTTCTCCCTTGACAAAGTAGCCCTCTCAATTGTAGGCCATTAATTTCATAATCTGCCTGTAAATGGCAACCCAAGGCGAGGTGGGTGTGGGCACCTCATTAGGCTCTGGGTCAGCTTTGATTGAGCGACAAACACCTAAGGGTGCGTTTTGTAGGAGGCTGAAAGCACCCTCTACTTATCAGGGGTGTGCATTTTTTGTCTCAACTCGAAGTGATTTATTATGATTTCGGCTTTGAGTAAGAGCTAGCCATTTGCGAGTAGGCCATAATCAATCGATGTAGGGGTCTAGCATGTTCCGCCCTCACACTCACTGATGAGGGTGCGGAATTTATGCAGATTTTTTAGGATAAAATGATTTAATATTTTGCAGATAATGTCATGTCATTAATCGGCTGAATGTGTAGCCATTCCCTCTCTTTCAACTGATATTACGTGTGACGTACTCTTAAAGAACTTAACTAAATTTTCGCTACTGCTTGAAAAAACAAATATTCACAACCAAAGCTGCAGTTAATAACAATTTAAAATTGCAAATGGCAGGTTTCCGACTTCCGTTTTAATGGCTGCCAAAAATTTTCATTTCCTGCTAAATACTTTGTATTGCAGTTGCATACTTTTCGGCGCACACTAGCAAAATCACACAGACACACACCGCATACAGGCTCACCTAAAAGGTGGCTTACCTTTAATTTGCTTGCACCTGGTTCTCTCGTGGGAGAAATTAATTTCACGCATGTGAGGCTATACACACATATCACCGTACCGTCACTCACACACACTCTGGCACACAAAGTCTCGTTGAATTTGCATAACTGCAGCGCTAGTGCAATTTTCTCGCGAATGGCAAACTGCGAATCGCATTGCAAACTTGCAACTGCAGTTAGCTGAAATTTTGCAGTTGCAGTGAATGTCGTAACCATAACTGTAGGGCGAAAAAATGTTAGATCCTAGTTGGTTACAAAACACAGAAATATATGAATTTGTAATCAGCAGGAAAATTAGAGAACATGTTTTCGACCCTCTGTCATAAAAAGTATATGTATATTTCCACCCAAATTTCCGAGAGGGGAACTTCATTTTTGGGTTGCTGTTCCAGGAAATTTCATTAACATTTGTTGACTTGTTTACTTGACGGCGTTTTTGGCTTTATAATAGTCATGCCCCGAAACTACTCAACATGCAAATTGATTCAATTAAGTGGGCAAATATTTGAGAGCGCTGACCAAGAAGATGGCGGCATTTAAGTTTTATGCAGTGTAGCTCATCATTCCAGGGTACGTGCCTTCAAGGCCAATTAACTCCTAACGACCTCCACTATTTATGGGCCAAAACTCTCTCCGGTGGATCCTGTTACCAAAGCAGCCAAAATGTCCCATAGGCACGCCATGCGATGGGAAATTGGTCACCGGAATGAAGGTCGATTTATGGCCGGGTCAAAAAGAGCTTACGATGATATGGGTCCCATATGCGTGACACAAAGTGTATTGGTATTGGCCAATGTCGAGACATTTGTAGTGGGGCTTATGGCCAAGCTCACCGTTAGTTAAGTGTTTAAGCATTTTTCTGTTTTAAGCTTTTCAATCAATGAAACTCTGACGGGGCCGTCCCGAGTGAAATATATACATATATATATTCTGTTGCCATTTGGAGGCATTAAATCGTGTAATCCTGTTATACGTGACCATGGGCACCGCAGATATAAAATGCATGGCGGCAGGAAGTCTGAATGTGAAGCCACAAATGCGGATCGAATCAATTACCAAGGGGATGACAGCAATCAGCGCCATTGAAATGCTTTTATTTGAAAATCGGGCATGAACTACTAGACTCGTATGCCATTTAAATGGTCTTTAAACCATTATATTTATTTAATATTTTCCATTTAGAAACCGCAATAACTGAGAATTCTCCAACTAATACAAATACTCATCCAAGCAAGACTTGGCCCCATTTTAGCTTTTTAAGCCTGGGACTGGGGGCCAATAGCCACTTCAAAGGAACTGCTCGAGATAAGAGGAAAGACCACAGACTGCATATTCCTAGATGCCGAACTTTTTGAATTTCATGCAAAATAGCTGTGCTCGGTGTCAATACTGCGCACACCACCCCTTGGTGTTGTTTTCCAGGAAAACTCTGAGTGTGATGGTGTTGTCAGACAATGCGTGCCACCTTCGAAGTCATTGACATCGATTCGAGCAATATACGAGTATACCCGTTGTGAAAAGTGTGCGTCTATTTCTATGCAGTGTTCAATGACTCTCAACCGCAATTGATTGAGCAGCCACCACCGATGCTCTTCTATATCCTCTGTTATCCGACACTTTTTTGTTGGCTCTCGATGATTCCAGTGCTCACACGCTTCAGTGGTCAAAGGGAGCAGTCAACAGGTGCAAATCCATTCAGTTGGTTGAGGTTTCTAGGAAGCCAATTTAGTTGACCTTTTCGCAGTTAATAGTCGGGTTGTCTTGGGTGGGCTAAAGCTTGCTTGCTGCCAGCGGACTTCGCTTTGGCATTTGAATAAACTTATATATTTTCAATTTATAATGCCCACAATTTCTCTGCTTAATTTGAGTTGACTGCTCAAGTAAATGGTGGAACAACAGCAAAGACGTCGAATCGTAGTTTATAAGTTAGCAAGCAATCTAAATTTTTAAGCAATTCCATGAATAACAAAGCAGCAATCAACACATTGTGCGAAGCGACCATGGCCAAAGGGAAAAGTTCTCTATT